TACGGGACCGCTCTCCTAAAACTTTCACGGCGGAATGTGTCATCCTGTCACTGAACCCACATGGGGTACGAGACGTCCCATGGGCCCGTCACACGCGTCCCTCAACCCACCTCCTCTCCCTTTTTCTCCCTTTCTCTCTGTACCTTTCTCGAGATCCTCCTCGGACGTAATCGTTCCTCTCTGTACGCCGTAATATCGACATTAACACTCCCGCTAATTACGATAAACACGAAAGATCAAAAATTAACCATCGTGAGATCATCGACAGAAACCTCGCAGACACCGAAGTGGATTTCTCGAATTGCTCAGGGATCTAGGGAATTCTGGGCGAAGTGACAACTTCCCCTAGACCAAGATTACCCAATTTACCAAGCTAGGTTCACCCTCGTCGATAATTTAGATCATGCGGCAATCTTATCGCAGAACCTTTAGACTCCTCTCTACAAACGGTTCACCGCAGAAAACTTTCACGGCATAGTAGATCCCGCGGTCCGTAATTAACCCATCAACCGTCAGGCGTTAATGAAAGTGCAGGAGACGTCGGTGTGTCCTGTCCGGGGACAGGTGGGACACGCGTGTGTACACAGAGGAGCGACCAGTCGTCTGACGAAAAGAAGAAAAAAGAAAAAAAGAAAACTAAGGGGGAGGGGGAAGGAGAAGGAAGAGGAAGAGAGCACGGAACACGGTCGTAAGGAGAAAAAGGAGGCGACGCCTGTTGTGTGTGTGTATATATATAGCTGGGTCCTGCTGGGAGCTAGGAGGCGAGGCCCCGGCTATCCTGGAAGGTGGGCACCGAGAGATATAATACTCGACTACCTCTACCCGCCGCGATAAGTGTCAACTGCAGCGTGCCAGATAAAAAGAACGGAGGAAAAATAAAATTTAGCTGGGTGATCCATCATGAGGCTACGGACGCCGGACGCGCAGGCTCGCCCCTCATTGGCCGGCTCCGCCCACAGACGCTCACGTGACCGGCGTCGAGAGCACGCCCAGTTTCGAGAAGGCAGCACCCTCTCTCTATACAGCCTGGGCTAGTACTGCTACGTACGACGACGCTTTTGCCGGAGAATCAAACGAGAGGGAGAGAGAGACGAGCGACAAAGAGAGAGAAGGATAGACGGAACGGGTTAAAGTGCGAGAGAGAAACGAGAACTGGACACACCAGACCCCTGTGGCTCGCGATCTCACCTGCGTGCAGCCTTCGACCGTGCCGCCTTCTGCCAGGCCAGTCCACTTCAGCGACCCTCGTCGACCGGATCGACGACTACGCGTCCGCTCTTTCTTCGTTTCTCGCACGAACGCGACGCGTTCCCGCGGCAATTGGCATACCGTGGATCTGCCTCGGGATTCTTCGCGTGTTTTAACTTCGCTTAGAGGATAACCGAGGACTGTGAACTGGGATTCGAATCGAATTGGTATTCGCGTTGAAATTAATCAACCTCGGCTACGTTTGAGATAGAGAGCGGGGAGAATTTTTACAGATGAAGTTTCTTCGTTCGTTCTGAACAAGTGGAGTAACACCTCTCGTACCACGTCTGTGACATCGTCGTGTGTTGTATCAGTGTTCTATCGATCATCTTTACAAACTTCACAGAGAGATCGAATAGTCGAGGATCGTCGAGAAAAGTGCTGCACGGACCTTAAAGTGGTAGCGCATGATCGAAATGTAAACTACATTCGTCTTCGATACAATTCAACAGAGACACTACACTGTATCTCCCTCCCTCTCTCTCTCTCCCACACGTAAGATCCCCTCCGTAAGAGTGCAAGTAAAAGACTGGTGGCCAAGCAGGCAGCAGGTGGCCAATTGATGTATTCGCCTCACCGCCACGAGGATGATGATGATGGACATGGGCATGTACGGAACCTACGGCAAGCCTGACTCATACCCCAACTACGTGTGCACGGGTCAAGGGAATCATCATCATCATCAGCCAGTGTCCGTCGGGGGACACGTGCCAGTACCAGCCTCGCCTGAGCTCGCTCCAGCTCACTATTTCCCTCAGACCGCTGTCTCCCCGTATTCCTCCTCTTCCTCGGAGAGTTTCCTCGCTGCAGAGTCTGCGACATCCTCGGGCACACCTCCGCAAGGTTTCTATTCACCGACGGCCGGAGTGTTGCACGAGGATGGCACAACAACGGCGATCATCTCCTCGGAGAACGGTCTGAGCTACACGAACCTCGACTACGCGTCTTCTTCGTCGTCCTCGTACTCTGGTCAACAGCATCAACACTCGAACGGCTCCCATGGATCGGTAGATCCTCACCAGAGCTATCACGTTCAGCAATCGGCCTACAGAGACGAGCATCATCATCACCATCATCCTGCTGCTCCTCCCACGGGAAACGGTCTTCATCAGGGCTCGATGGTGGCCCATTCGAGGACCGACCACGAGCAACAGTTGCACCATCAGTCTTCTAGTCATCACCATCATCATCACCATCATCACCACGAGCCTGATTACCAGCTACCAGTCGCTGGTACCACCAACTACCTTCATCAACTACCCGCCGCCGAAGATTCGCTGCACTATCACGCTCAGATCAGACAGAACGATTATTCGGGACATTCCACAGGTCACTACAAGGAGGAAAACCCCGATCCAACTGGTTATCACGTTCTCCAACAGTCTGGACACCCTCAACATCCTCACCAGCACGCGCACGGACATCATCATCAGCAGCATCCGCACGGACATCATTCTCAGCCGCAACAACAGCAACAACAGCCACATGTACCCACGTACAAGTGGATGCAGGTGAAGAGGAACGTGCCGAAGCCCGTCGGTACGTAGTTCGATGATTTATTTGAGATTCTGTCGGGGAAGAGGCGGTCCAACTGGCGGGAAATTAGTATTCCGTGGGGGCGATCCGGTAGCAGCTCGTTAGCTTCTGTCTTTATCGGACGACGAGCATTTTAGAGCGAATAGAACGACGGAGTCGTGGCCTGTCCACTCTCTCTCTCTCTCGCTCTTTCTCTCTTGATGACTATCTTTCCGGGGAATTAATGGTCGATCGAGACGAGGTGGAAAAGGCTACCTTTGCCCGTAGGAAGCACTGTCTTCACGTCGACGACTTTATTTAGGTTGCCGATGATTAATGTGTCAGGGAAAGCAGGCTGATTTTTCTCTTGTTCAACAACGGATTAATAGCGAAGTTGGTATTGAATTTTTCAAACTTCCGACAGACATACCGATTTGATCCTGGAACGCAGCCACCGCAGGAATTGCAGGAAAATTCATTTTTCTTTTCATTTCCATAACTTTCTGCGCGACTTGGTCAGCGCGACTTCTTGGAAGAACAATTTGTAACGTTTAAGTGTCGCGACACGACCCAATTGTGCCTCGTTGAAGACACTTTACATAAGGTTCGTGCAATCTCGAATGGCCGCCGCTACGAATCGTGGCGCGCGCTCCCGCCACAGATCGAACTGTCTTTTCTGATTCGACACTTTTCGCCTGGGTGGTGAATTCAATTAAGATTGACGGACAACTAAAATGTGACGTACTTGTTGGCCGACGACCTAGTGCCTTTGAAACGCAAACTATACGTAACGAGATTAATAAAGCGTGACACGTAATTCCGGTTCGACAGACGTCGTTAATCTTTCCACGTGCTTCTCCGCCGATCGCGATTATCCTACGACCCTGTGTGTCCCTTCCGCTGAACTTCTTCATTCAATCGCTACCTCGTAAATGTGCAAAATTCCAGGCAGGAAAAAAATTTGCCGAAATTTCGTTTAGTCCGCGTGAGTGATGAGGAGGCCGATTATCGAGCCCGAAATGATTTGCAACGTCGCTTAAATTCATTTTTACGTGGCAAAATAGAGAAAGGTTGTGGAGGTGATAATTGTGAGGAAAATAGTGAAGATACAAATGGAAACACGGAATCGGTAGCAAGGGTGGAGAAATATGTTGAAACACGGCAAATATAAATACAATGTACAAATAACGTTCACAGAGGCAAAAGACGAAGGCGTAGATGGGTTACCTGGTGAGCCAGGTACAAATCAAGATTCGATAGAGCAAACCGATAAGCGTCTTTTCCCTGAGATAGAAGGAAAATTTATCGGTATTTATACTGTCCCCGGGTGAGTTATTTAGCCGGTATTTACGCCTATGCGACAGTCGTGAACGGCCATGATAAGATTATGCACACGAAAGCAGCGCGTAACAGAAGATACCCGAGCTTTTACGAGAATATCGTTGCCGAACGACCATAAATCAACCGCTCGCGAACCTCTCGTCGACTATCTTTCTCACCTACAAACTACCTCTCGATTATTTTCACCTGGATAAATCTTCCGCGCCTAATTGGAGCACTTCGTTCAAGCTAAGGTGGATGGAAAAAAAATATCTCTTTGAAGATTAACAACCATTTCCAAGGGATTCTTCGAATAACAAATTTTTCACTGTGACAACGATTGATAGGTACGTTGAAAGTATGCAGTTCGAGTCAACGTATGACATCCTTATCATTTTCATGCTTTAATTCGATATTCCAGATTTTCGATTTACCTTGAAATTGGGGTTGAAAAAAAAGACAATTTGCTTTATTCTCTGTTTTCTCTTCTTTTTTTCACGTGATTGATCCTGTTGCTTTATTTGTTTACAAATACAAGAGGAATCGATAGAGAGAGGAAAAATATTCCGTGCTTGCAAACATGATTTATCGAAGTGGTCGGATTTGATGGTAGTCAGAAAAATGATATTGGAAAGCCGCGATAAGATTCGCGGTTAAGAACGAAATTCTTGCACTCCGGTTATCTGATTATTATCGAGAGACACCAGAGCTGATAACGCGTCTCTGTGAAGTCTTAATTAAGAAACCCCGACTGTAGGTATTTTCGTTGCCCGTACAATCGTTACTTTGAAATAAACCAAAAGGAAAAAAGGGGGAAACAGAAAGGAGCGCTGCGTGAAAATTGTTAAACGACGTTAATGCTCGGCGGTTAGCGTCAAGGGAAATATTAATAACGCGCAGTTAAACGTGATAACAGGAGAAAAATTGCATAAAAGACAAGATAATCGTCGCATGAATTACGCAAAGTGGCAATTGAATGTGACAGAAGAATTGATCAAAGGAACACGATCGGAATAGTTAAGTGTCCGTCGATTTGAATAAGTGCGTATAATTATAAACGATATTCGCGCGATAGGGCGTCTTAGGTAAAAAGAAAAAAACTAAGAAAGAAAAACAGATGTAACTGGTAATTTCATGCAGCATGAAACGCAAATCTGGTTGTCGATAGGTGTTTAAAAAGTTCATAAATAATAAGCAACGCGACGGTATCGCGTTAAGATCAATGGAATTCCGTCGATTTACTGCCGATTTCCCCGCCTCGTTTCTCAACGAGTCGTGAACGCGCTAAGGCATTTTCCACGGGAATATTGCGCCAGTTGGGTATTATATAAACGGTAATGTGGAGCAAGGAATTACTACGTTGATCATTAAATTAATATACCGGTAAATTCTATACGCTCTTTTAAACGCCGTTCCCTGGGTAGGTACTTTCTTTTCGTAAAGAACAATTCAAGCAAGTTCTAAACAAAAAGAAGACGAACACTTATTCTTAAATTCGAATTTCTCCAATTTCTCTCATAGAATTGAATCGTCTAAACAATGCGTGAAAAACTGAGACGAAGGTTTCGCGAAATTCTGCGGAAAAAAAATGAAAATATAAGGCTCGAGGCGTTTACCTTTAAATTCTCTCACAAAACTGAATCGTCTAAAAAACGCGTGAAAAGTTCAAACGAATGTTTCGCGAAATTCCGAGGAAAAGGATGAAAACAGAAGACTGGAGGTGTTCGAAAAAACGATGAACTTTATCTTTAAACTCGAATTTCCTCGATTTCTCTGAGGAAATTGAATCGTCTGAAAAAAAGCGCGTGAAAAAGCGAGATAGAGGTGCCGTGAAAGGCCGAGGAAAAGGATGAAAGTGTAGAAGGCTCGAGGTGTTCCCCCTCGGTTGGCTGGTAATTTGCTTAACAGCGAGCGGGGCTCGGGGCAATCGGCGTGCTCGAGCCGCTAAGCTTAGCCCGTTGAATGGAGCTTGTCAGGATTACCAGCGTTTCGCTTAATAGCTCATTATAATCGAATTAATAACGCCGGCCGAGAAGTCACCGGGGGTGACGCTTATTACACCGGGACATGCAAACGAAACGGTGCACACCGCCGCCACCCTTCCTTTTCTCCTCTCGCCGGTAGAGCTTCCTGCCCCGCGTGCTCCTTATCCGCGATTTCCACGCGCGAATAGAATCTAACGATCTTCCGGGTACTCTTGTAGATCGCGCAAGTAACATAGTAGCTGATACAATTGAAACGATACGTTGTATTCTTTTTTCTTTTTTCTTTCTCTATTTTACACAGCCAGAAGGAAATTTACTGAATTATTTGGGAAAATTATGGACACGTGATAGGTGCACATGGAGATTTCTTGTGTGAGATAGGTATTTCTTTCACGTTTCTGTGTTGCGATAAAAAGAGGGAAACGTGCAGGCTAAAGTTTGCAATAAGATATTATTTTAACCCCTTCGTTTATGGTTTTTCAATGGCTATCTCTGTTAATACTCTAAATAGGTATCTTCTAAGACACGTTAAAATATTACACATATTTTCTGTTTAATAATCATCAAGAGTTTCAAACTAGAGTTAGAGTTCAAATGTACGTTTATCGCAAGTAGAATTCACGTTTGTCGTATTTCAACTATAACCTACACCACGAGTGTGACACGTTATTACAAAGCAAAGATAATTCTCCCTGTATTTCACTTTTTCCCAATCTTTCACCGCAACATTTCAACCTGAATTTTCAAAGTTCATTACAAACTCACTGTAGTCGTATCCTATCCATAATCTACACCACGAGTGCGACTCCTTCTAACTCAAAGTGTCGAATAAAACCAAAAAAATAATTCTCCCTACGTCGAATCTTTTCTAAATCTTAAATTTTCGCCAAAAAAAAATCTAATCGGTGCAGTATCTAAAAAAAAAAATTGCTCTCAACCCGGAGAAGCTTGTCGACGGAACGGAAGCTGCGCAATCGAGGCGAGAGGGCAGCCTCAATCGAAATAACAAGATGGGCGGAGCAGATTGGAGGGGGGATTTCGGTAGATTTTGGTTGGCGAAGTTTTTTGGTTGGTCAGGAGCTGACAATAGCTCTGGTTTTTCCCCGGTTGCCTCCATAATGCGTTCCAGGGGTCCGACACGGGATCTCTATGGGGACGCCCGATCCGGACCACCCTTCTTTCTTCACGGGGTCAGGGAAAAGCGGGAACGAGAAAGGAGAGGGACAGGAGGCTGTCAGCCCTCCCGATTTATCATACACCACTCGATTTCTTCTCTCTCGTAATCAATAGCGGGATTGGCGAGCACGTGAAAGAGAAAAAGGGCGGAACAAATAAGCAACCCTCTGTATACAAGAGGAAATCATAATTCCGTGGACTCGTGCTTGCCTCCATAGAGCAAGACACGTTTCTCTGTCGAAAATGATGGCGAAGATGATGGAATCTTGCTTCGATCACTGTTCCGTATAGCAAGAAATTTCTAAAACGTGAAACTCAACAACTATACACAGGGTGTTTCAGCTTTTCCGGCCAATTTTGTCGGGTTATAGATACGAACGAGAAATGTTGTACAAATATAGGTCGTTTGAAGCTTCGTTAAAAAAGTTGCAACGACAATACGGAATATGGAGAAATTGCTTTAAATACGGATCGTTTACTCTGTTCATGCGAGCTGTGCTTACTATCTGAGGTCGTTAATCCTCGGTAACCCAATTCTTTTTC